TGAGAATTGTAATTAATTGTGTTTGATTGATATAATTTTCCACCTGAAAAATGTTGAAAGTTTGGTGTCCGTTTGGCTTCATTTTTTATGAAAATTGTCCATTAAAGTGATAATTTTTCTACCATTGGATCTAAAATTTGTTTCAATTGACAAATTTTTTTTTTTAAAAGTACCATACATAATACCATTCGTTTAGCTTTCTTTTGCATGAAATTTTTCAATAAAAGTGATAAATTTTCTTACCATTGTGTCTAGAATTTTTTCCAATTGTAAAAAAAAAAGCTAAAAATCAATTTACACCAAAATTGGTGGAAACCATGTGGAAATTGGTTTTCCACTTAACCAAGGAAAATGTGAGCATGTGAGCCAAACCAAGAAAGTTTTTTTCTTGAAAAAAAAAGTTTATCAAACAAGACAAAAGTGGAAGTTGGAATTTGTTTTTCATTTTCCATGGAAAATAATAACCTATCAAACAGGCCCTAAGGGAAATAAATACATGGAAAACTAGACTTGAACGTCGGGTGGATAAATATACCAAACACGGTACTATTCAACAATCTTTATGTAAGGGAAAAAATCTTCAAGAAGATAAAAAATTCAATTAAGAAAAGAGGGAAAAAAAATTAAAACATCAAATTATAGTTTGAAAACAAATGATGTTTTCTTAGTGAATCTTCTTTGATCCGGCATGATAGGGCTTGTAGTTTAACTACGGACAATGCTTAAATTAAATAGTCATGTAGGATAAAAAATTTGCAATCCACATATTGAACTCGTCCTGTTTAAGTAAAAAAGGACAACATTAGATTTCAAAAGAAAATCATGAACTCGAGATAATAAAAAAGATACATCACATCCCAAGCTATGAATATATCAAGTTTAATTGTCATTAGTTATAAACAAAATTATTTAAATTTGTAAACAACACAAGAAAATAAAAAAATTGAAGTGCAAAGAATGAATACTTTGATTCATCAACTAATAAACAACCGTACCTTAAACTTTTTGATTTATAGAAAATTCAAATTGCAAATATTATCATGTACTAACTTCTGAAATGTAACAATATGATGTGAGACGAGAGACAAAAAAGTGGGAGCCAATTATGATTTCTTAGAATTAGAGTCTATTTTTATACAAATTACTACCCAAATTAAAGTTCTTAGATTTTGTATTTTTTTTTTTACTCAGACTGTATATTGTAAAAAAATAAAAAATATATAAAAAATTGATTTCATTCGGGTACCCATAGTTCTGGCTCAAGAACCAAGAACCAACCCAGATCTAATCGATTTTCAATTCTTGATTTTGGCTTCTACTTCCTTTTTTTATTTTTTTGGAATCAATCCGAAACCTCTGGTTTCAATTTTGATTTCGGTTCGAGAGGTTTGTTTTCAATTAAAATATCCGAGCCTAGTGACTCGATTGAAATAAGTAATTAACTACGTTAAGAGAATGAGTAAACCAATTGAAAATGAGTAGGAAGTTAGATTGAAAGTAGCAAAGTTATTTAACAAAGATAAAATGAAAATTAGGATTCCCTCCATTTTTAATCAATCAACTGCGATCGACATATCAATGTGTGTTACTTGGTAATTAATCAAGTTAGAATTGAATCAATTAAATATAAGCGCATCTCCAACCTTGCACTTTCACCATTTTTCACCAAAAATTTGGTGCAATCCTTCTCTGACCCAACACCACAGTTTGCACCATTCTGTTGCAAAATGGTACAGAGTGAATAGTACTGTTGCACCAAATGTCCTTTTTACCCTTCTTTTCCATTTTGTACCAAATTTTTTTTTTTTTAAATGTATTTGTGTCGTTTTTTTTGTTATACAATAAATTTTAATTCTTAATTTATTAACAATAAAATTATTATTATTACTATTATTATGTACATTTTTAATAAATTTTAATTATTTAATCAACAATACAATTTTGAGAATTAAATTACAATACTAATTCGACTTTATAATA